CTGCTGTGCGACAATGCCAAGCCTTTCTGGGATTGGTGGAGATATTCCCCAGTCCCGATCCCAGACGTGAGGACAAGATGGGACGACAGTTTTGCATTACTGGGTATAGCTGCCAGACGAACTTGTCCGTCGCTTGGCTACACTCATGCGGAAGAAACGATTCGGGCGGCCATCCTTTGGACTTTCTGGAATTGCCGAATATGGCAGTTCGTAACGGGGAGAAGACAACTCCCCCCATGATCAGAGCAGAAGCGAAATATACTATCAAATTGGCTATCTCTGCAGACTGGGAACACCGGGTGCAAAACAAAGGGTGTACGGCTAAAGCTGTGAAATGGTTTCGAATGAAATGGGGAGCTTTCAACGGGCTGTGTACAGTGAGTACGCAAGGAGGAAATATTCCGGTCTTAGTTTACTCTGAATTTTTCTTATGATTGTTTTTGGAGACTACAGAAACTAGGGAGTCACTGTTTAGCATTGTACTCGCTTTGTAATGGCTTGTTTTTGTTTTGTGGCAGCACTGTAGGTCTGCACAATGAGGTAAATTTAGTAGGACTTGCATTAGATTTATAACAGATTAGAGTAGATAAGAAGTTATCTCTGACTTCATTTTTAGTACATTTTTGGGTTTTACAAATTGGACATTGAATCCGGGGGCAGGGGTCCTGATCAATGGACAACTGTGGTTGGGGATGGGATTGGCCAGGAGAGCCTTTTTCAGCCCAGAGGGCTGCAGTATTCATGTAAGGGATGCCGGGCCCGTTTCCCGGTTATAAATCATTTTTGGAAAAAAAAAAAAAAAAAGGCACAATAGCAAACAGATGCACAACATGAAAGTACTTCCAGTCTATCGCGTTCACACTTACACCCGATCGCATGCACACAGTGAGACTTGGATCTGCACGTCGGGGTAGGCCAGGTGCATTCGGGAGCACCTGGCCCGTTGGACACTATCTATAAACCCTTGGCATTCACGCTGGTACCCCGTCACATGCACAGTATGTGAGATGGTCCGCTGCGTTTGCATCTGCAACTGCACGTCGAAGTACGCCAGGTGCATTACGGAGCACGTGCCCGGTGAGACCTTGCAGAGGAAGAGTGGAGGGGTATATTCCAGACATTTTTGTATAGAAGACCTCGCCTGCGTCTGTTCTTGTGTCAAAATGAACAGGGAGAGTGGACAAGAGAGTGAGAGAGAGAACGAGAGAGCTAGAGGAGAGAGAAAGCAAGATGGACACCAACACACACACACACAAAAAAAAGATGGACACACACACACACACACAAACAAACAGTCTCACACACACACATACACACACACACACACACACACACAGAGAGAGAGAGAGAGAGAGAGAGAGAGAGAGAGAGAGAGAGAGAGAGAGAGAGAGAG